ATTTATTTGAAGGACTTCTTTCGCCATTTTGTTTCAAAAATCTGAAAAATACAAGACAACTTTTTTGTTGAATTTTGCTTTGAAAACTATCTAGAATGATAGAAAATTGTCTAACTAAGAAAATAAATCCGAACACCAATATCTTTAATTCAGTAATTAACGCTGTACAGACGTTTAAAGGGTTGTTTACGTGACGTCACAATGTAGCGCCAAATATCGCGTGCAAAACAAGACGCATTACTATATTACTGCGCACTATACAATTGCAGTTGCATAGCAAGCAATGGGGTTCATAACCATTTTTCTTTGATAATGAAATTAAATAAAAAGGTTATTTTTTCGTTTTTCGTAAAATATGGTATATATTTTCACTCAACATGATAAAATGCCACATATTTTCACTCGCCGTCCCGGCTCGAGAAAATATGTGGCATTTTATCATGTTTCGTGAAAATATATTCCATATTTCACTCAAACGAAAAAATATCCTCTTAATAGCCTTTACTGCGTTAGTAACGCAGTAGAAATATAGTTGTAAATACAGAAAAATCAGTCATTTATCACACATAATATGTAAAATATTACTTGAATCTTGAAACGTTTTACGTTTCCTTACATTTTAGTACATTTTTCTAAAGTTTGATTTTATTTAAATATTTTGACTCATCTGGAGGCATGTAGCTTTAAGTGATAATAAGATTAGTTAACAAGCTTTTTACATATTCTTAAAACACAAACATTAATGATAATTAATGTAATTAATCAACATTTTTCAATACTGTAATGATTATTATATTTAACCAGGTACGAGAAGACAGAGGAGATGGTGGACTAGAGATTGGCTTTTACGAAGACACCTTCATGGCCAATATGAGACTCTCATGGCCGAACTTGTCGAGGATCCGGCGTCCTACAAGAAATTCACTAGAATCGGACCTGATATGTCTGGGGTCTGACGCGATGAAGCCGAATCCTCTCTGCCAGAATCATTGAACTCTGCTATTCATTTTCTAGATGCTATTTTCTTGTGAGGCATTTTGAAAATGAGCATGCAAGTGTGGACGAAAATTATTGGTCCGTATAGATCCGTGGCGATTCGTTCTTCTCCGTATCAAACCGTGCTTATTCGTACTAACCCGTGCTTATACCGTAGCAGACCGTAGTGTATCCGTACTGATTCGTGTCGCTCCGTATCAAACCGTGTCGGTCCATAACAATCCGTGTCTCTCCCGGGGCTTTTACCTACATTTTGGCGGTATATCCGTCGAACTCCGTACTCATACCGTTGTGTTTCCGTACCGGAACCGTAGCGGACAACGGCATTTCAAATTTCCGTAGTAATCCGTGACCGTTTAGACCGTAGCTCTTCCGTGGCGTTATCCGTGAATATGTGACCGGGGCATTAGTTACAAATATTTTAAAATTCTGTCACAGAATCTTCTTTATTTCTATATAATTTGTATTCAAATTGGTTTTTTTTATATATTTTTGAACAATTTTCTTAACATAAATAGGTATTGGTTGATGTGAAATATTTGTTCTGTATAAATAACATTGTGTAAAAATTTCCACCGAAATTGTACTGATTTGCACGAAGAAATAGAATCATAAACTTGGCGCCATATTTTATTCCATGGTAACTCCATATTTAGTAAGCTATCCCATTTGCTTTCAGTTTTTAAGTTACCATTCTTTTGGTTCAATATATGAGATATTTGTTTTATTTTGATATTTTTAGCCAATATTTTTGTTTGCGACTTGCTGATTAAATAATGGTCTTTTAAAGGTTGTAGCCAATCCTAAATTATTTATAGCGCAATATGAACAGCGTCTAAAAGACCAGTTTGTGCAAAATTGGCAATTAAAGTGTCTAGAAAATGTAAAATTAAATCATTATGTTATGTTTAAGACTACCTTTAAAAGTGAAAAATATATTTCTGTTATAGATATTGACAAATATAGAAAATGTTTTGCTAGTTTTAGAAGCTCTTCACATTGTTTAATGGCTGAAAAGGGTAGACATTTTAATATTGATAGAGAACATCGTGATTGTATGTATTGTGAATCAATGTTAGAGGACGAATATCACTTTCTTATTGTGTGTTCTTTATATGCAAATTTACGTTCTTACTATATACCATTGTATTATTATCAATATCCGAATGTTCAAAAGTTCTACTCTTTGATGGCAACTGAAGACGAGTCATTGATACGTAATGTTGCTATGTATATTTATTATGCAATGAAAGAAAGGGATAATTTTCTTAAATGTTTTGAATAATTTATATTCAGATTGTATTTTATAATTGTATTAGAAATTCGTATTGCCAATTTGTATTGTATATTGTATACACTGTGTATGGGCCGGAGGCCTCTTGTACAATAAAGATATTGAATTGAATTGAATAAAGCAGTTATATACAATTTAGGAATGCTTGATTTGAGAAATATGCCATTCGGCAATCCAATTTCGCGTACATTCTAATTTCCTTAAAAGAGTGTCTGTGATAATAAAATCATTATTTCCAAAGTCCAAAATATCTTTTAAAAACAATATATTACTTTTAACAAATGAATTGAAGTATAATGTTTTTTTGCGTAAACAACTTTTAGAGTTATAAAAAAGGAATACAAATGTATATCTTTTACATCGGATAGAGACTATGGCTGAAACTTTGCTTTAAATCGAGGGCGAATTTGTAAAACGTACTTGTGTTCAATTTGAAAGGTAATTTTCCTGAAGAAGAATATTTACATGTAAAATACTAATTTCAGTCTTCCCCATGAGTATCATATTTTTGTAAAAAAATATATTTTTTTTTTCCTATTGCGTTCCAGTCCTGTATGTCAGAGTGTATAATTTGTATTTTATTTGTCTTGAATATTAGAAATAATGCAAAAAGTTAAGACATCCGTCTTTCAGGTTAAAGAGATTAGTGTTTTTTGAAACTAACGGTCGCTTATTGTCCCATAGAAAATCAAAGCACAGAAGGCGCGGAATATGGTTGGGTCTCAGAATGTCAGAAAGGTGAAGGTTGAGAGATTATAAACCAATTTGTTTTGTATAGTGCCACCAATGCTGTTTCTTCTTCTTCTTCTTCCAATACTGTACATAACCCACTCTGGGGCATTAACGGACGTATGTACAAAGTGTTGTGCGGTGAATAAGTGATAATTTAAAGAATAACATGTTAAAAATAAAATCAACTCCGGCATATTAGAGTCTCAAGGTTTACTGCTGTGGCTAGGTGCCCTGGAAGCTGGTTCCACAGGCGGATGGCCGAAAGTACAAAGGAGAACTTCATGGTGTCTGTTCCAGTTTCCTGTTTCCAGTGTTATAAACTGTAGTAAATTGGCTATAAGGCTATTTGCAACACTGATATCCAATTCAATGTATTTGGCTTAAACAATATAATAATAATAAAAAATAAAAAATAATAAAAAAATTGCCTTAACTGGGAATTGAACTCCAGACCTCTCGCTTCCTAACCGAACGTGTAACCCCTCGACAACGGGGATTTTTTAAAAATAGCTTGAAGAAAACCACATAATTCTAAATTAGGGTTTGTAACCTTATTAATTTCACGGTAAGCCTGTTGTTTAACACTGATGTAAATAAGCATGGAGCTTAATATAAGCATGTTGATCTGTAAATAAAAACACAATATTAGAAATCTTCGACCAATCGGGAACTATTTTATTTTTCCTCGAGAAGGCTTAAAAATTAATGCGCCTGTCATTTGACAATCTTTACGCAGTAATCTCCCCTTAATTTTCCGGTGTTAGTGTACTTATAAAAGGAAGAAACCGCTCCGAGGAGTTTGGACTACTTTCCGTATTTGCAGATAAACACATCAGGGTCTGAAATTTCGCTACCATTATTTGTTTGGTTTGACGACCCAAACAAATAAAAATCAAACAAACTTGATATATGTTCAATAAGTTAGTTTCATTAAGAGTGAAATAATGTTTAATTCCCAAAATTTGACTTCGAAACTTAAATATTTGCATATGAACATTGACCTACAAATGACATTGACAATTAGTTTATAAATTGCAGAAATATGTCTGCCTACAGTGAAAGTAGGGTTATGAATTTATTTATTTTTAGATTTAGCAAAAATGCGTTAAAGTGTTTCATAGTCCTTGTTAGTAGTACATGTATAAGGATATTTTGTTTTTCTAACAGTCAAAGATGTGAGGGGCACAGCAAATGGTGAATGCAATCGACAGTACAAAAGTAAATAAACACTTGTATGCACACCTTATTTTAGACAGAGTTATTACTTTAACTTGTTGAAACTTGATAAACACAAGTACACACATACTTGCTAAATTACATAACCAAATAAATACAATAATAATCTAAACATAATCCAACATATGGAGCTACACCCCTTTTAATCTTCTTAAAAATCAGCATAATATAACCAACATAAAAGTAGCCCTGAGATGACAAGATCCACTAATTCATGAATTTTCTGATAACGAGGCACGATCATTTGTTCGGGTGGGGGGGGCGGGGGGGTGACTTCGGTAAACCAATCCTCAGTAGCCTTGTACATTTTATTCTGTTATTTAATCATAATTTTCAATGATTATACCACCCATCTACAAACATATGTTTGTAAACGTTGAAAAGCTGAAAACAAGAAAAATAAAACAAAACAGAAAAACAAACAGTTACACTGTCATCTAAAATACATTATTTACACCTGAATTTTATTATTTTAAAGGTGAGTCAATTATTAAATGGGACGGGTTAGACTGCAATGTCATACCATCTTATTTTTAGACCCGTCTAGTAATAATAACAGATACACATATAAGTTTATGCTTTTACCGATTTAAACTTGCACATATATTTTTTACAACTTTAAAATTAATCCTAAAGATGATGCGTGTACGAAGTCGGTATATTAAGTTTAGATTATTGATGTTTATGTATCAAGGCCCGTTTACTTTAACATCCTTGAGTGGTTAATTCGGGTACATTTTGCACTTACTACCCTTTTTAAGATTGTCCAAAATAACATATAACCGTCATGTTCGTATGTGTATGTATAAAAGTCAAAAATCGATCTATTTTGGTGAAATTACGTTGATGAAGAAGAAGTTTTCGGCCGACCATGACGGACTTGTTATACTTAATTAAATAGTGTTGTACGCAGACGACTAAGCTGAACAGTCGGAAATTTTACTGTGTTAATTTTACGACAAAGACTTGTGTTAATAGTGATTTGAATTCTGGTTTTCAGAATATTAACTTTTTTACTGTTGTTATTTGGTGTGTTTTAGTATTGTTGTTGTTGTCTTTGTTGTTGTTGTAATTAAGGAGTGTTCACTCAAAAATGGCTGACGTAAATATGGATACAAGTGAAGGAATAAATGAGGGTAATGAAGCTGATGAAGTTGAAAGGGATCAGAAGGCGGTGTTATACAGTGTTGAAGATACACCACCCTGGTATCTGTGCTTGCTACTTGGTTTTCAGGTAAATCTTTTACATGCATTTTCTCCAACCGACCCTCACTGCTGTGGGTTCGAATCCCGAAAGGGATTTTTTTTTTCATGTGAGGAATGTTGTTCTACTCAGGTGTCCGCTCGTGTCTTAAAATAATGCACAGAGGGGCACCCTAGGCCTTCCTCCACCAGTAAAGCTGGAATGTCGTCATATCACCTATACTGTGTTGGTGCTGCGTAAAACCCAACCAAAATCAAAGAAAATTCGTACTTCCGTCCTTGCGTGCAAACTTGAGCAGTAATTTGTGAAAGGCATAAAAAGGCAGCCTACATGTGAAATATGTAAGAATCTGCCAATGTTTCTATGACATTTTATTGGAAAATATTAAACAAATTGTTGATATGTAATAAAGGAATATTATTTGAGTGGATTTGAGAATTTGTAAAAGTTTAAAGGCCCATAAGGTCTCAAAAATGTTATTATCTTTATTATTCATTTTTTGTTTGTTTATGATATCCTGTTACAGTTTTCAAAGGTTTCTCATGGGCATAATAGATGAGCATTTATGTTGTGTTTTGGCAATTATTACAATTACAGTGATTAAAGGCCAAGTATGCCTCAGAAGCGAATAAATGTTTCCTTCTGTAAAAGGGGCAAATACGAGTTTGAGTTTATAACGTCTAATTTATGGTGTTAAAGAGCATGTTGAATGCATATCACCTGAAGAAAGTAGTGCTGAATGTGAAAATATTCTTCATAAAAGTAGGAAAATGTAAACAAACTAGTATTTTGACTTACTCATCACTAAAAAGCAACAGAAGAAAAAATTGGCTCAAGTAATTGGCCAATGAGTTACTTTTTGGAAAATATAAACGGACATCAAAACTAAAAAAGCCTTTGAAAGAAATAAAAGCATTTCTGATGCATTATGGACCTTTAAGTATTAGGTATAGATATAAAATACCACTTCGTTTGTATTTTGCTACGTTTGTCACAAATCACATTGGGTGCCATTTTCTTCAGCCTATAAGCATTTTAGTCTACCATTGCAACATTATCAAACACATATTTTCCTTTTCTTTTCAACATATTAATTTCGGAGACTTGCTGTGCCTTTAATGTACAAAGTCGTGTTACCCTCTTGCATTACATATTATCATAAATACAAAGCAGTGTGTTGTATTGAATTTCAACGACCTTGAACGTGCAATGAAAGGTTTCTTTTTCTCAATCATGAATTTCAAATAATTTGGCGTACATTTTTGTAAGCTTGTTTACATGTTATTTAAGCTGCGGACTGATTTACTTATTTACAGTTTGAAATACTTCAAATATTTACTATGACTTAAAATTGAAATTATATTAAGATCTAAATCAGGTTTCATTTCAAAGATATTGACAACAAGCAGTACTAGTACTTCCTTTTGTCGGTTTTTGAATTAAGGTACCTCCTCCAAAAAAGTAGTCCGTTTATATTTGGTATTAAACCGACATTCTATAGCTAAACTTGTATCAGAGTTTGGGAACCTTTTTGTTGAAAATGTGTTAGAGTCAAATAGTATACTTGATTCAACTTGTATCATAGTTTGGGGACCTTTCTGTTGAAAAAGTGTCAGAGTTAAATCATATACATATACATGCACTGTGCGGTAACTGGAGTGCAGGTATCAGTTACCCGCACTCCAGATAATGCCCGTTGATTGGTTCATTTTTGCTGGGGTTTACTTATTGTGACGGCAGAGAAAGGGAAGGGGGCAGAACTATTATATTCAAATGCTCGTTCATTGGTTAATTTTTTCTGGGGTTTCATATTATGACAACAGGGAATGTGCTGTCATGTTTGACTATGATACAAAAGAGAAAGAACACCAAAACACTCGGCAATCTGATTTATACTCGGGGGCTACGCCCCCTCGTACAAATCAGATAGCCTCGTGTTTCGGTGCTCTTTCTATTACATATACATGCACAGTGCGTTAACTGGAGTGCAGGTATTAGTTACCCGCACGGCAGGGCATGCCCATTGATTGGTTCATTTTGTCTGGGGTTTACATATTGTGACGACGGAGAAAGGGAAAGCGATAAAAATATCATATTCAGATGCTCGTTCATTGGTTACTTTTTTGTGGGGTTTCATATTGTGGTATCAGGGAACGTGTTTTTATATTTGACTATGATATAATAGAGAAAGAACATCAAAACACTCGGCAATCTGATTTATACGCCCCCCTCGTACAAATCAGATAGCCTCGTGTTTCGATGCTAGACCTATAGAAACTATAGAGCTATTCCGCCACAGACTGGAAAGAATGTTGATCGTATTGTACGTTACGTCAATTTAAAAATGGTACAGATATAATGCAACTTATAATAATCAATTGCATGAGGAAAAAGTGTAATGGTGGATATATATAGTCCACATGTTCTTTGCAATGTTATTTTGAAAACAGAAACAAAATGCGTAATTATTGACAATTCGCGGCACGCGGTAGGAATATTACGTCACCATATAAAATATAACATAATAATATTACGTTTATGAGATGGCTGTAGTACCTTAAAGTAAATTATTTTCTACATTCTTTGGTAGCTAGAATGCGTATACTTTTATCTTCAAAATATATGTTTGTCTACACAACTTATCAAACCGCCATGATTTTATCTACGTATTAACCTTTTTCGTAAATAAGAGTAACAAACATAAGTCATGCAAAAATTCAGTCGAAATAACTATCCTAAAATAAGTGGCGTACCAAATCGCAACTACTCGGCCCTTTCCGTCAGTCTTCGGATAAGTTATTATAGATAATAGCCGAGACAGTTCCGAGTGAGGGCGTACCCTTGACTTTCGTATTAGAAAAAAACAGATTATTTTGATTAGTTTATTTTTATTAGTTTATTGAATTGTTAAATGTGAATATTAAATATGTATTATTTTTTAAACTAGAAAAAAAAGACAACAACAACATTAATGCGGTTAAGTACATAGTGACATTGACTGTTGCGGGATCGATTTTCATTAATTAAGGCCAAAACATTTAATAATGTTTGAACTTTAAAGGCACATGATGCCTTTGAAATTATTAAGTTTTTTACTTTTGTAGAAAGGGCTAATACGAGCCACGTCACGACAAAACCAACATAGTGTGTTTGCGACCCAATTACAAGTAGAGAAACTGGTAGTGAACAGCATGGATCCTGATCAGACTGCGCGGATGCGCATTTATACATTTATACATACATTTATGCTTTCCATTTTTTCAGCATTATTTAACGGCTGTTGGAGCTATTATTTCCGTTCCTATACTGCTCAGCGGATTCTTCTGCATGGACAAAGATACCGTCGGAATCAGTGAATTAATTGGAACTATTTTCTTTGTATCCGGTATTGCTACGCTGCTCCAGACGACATTTGGAGTCAGGTACTATATTTTGTCTTACAATTCTTTTAAATTTACTCTTAGTTTTAAACAAGATTAATAAAATCAGTATAATTCTTCACCATAAACGACACACGAAGCAGTGACACAAGAATGTTCCGAGCGCTGCCGGAAATGACCGACATGTTGCGATTTGAGTCCGGTGGTAACAGAGTTTGATAAAAAAGAACGTTCATTTCTGTTTTTATTTCAGCTAATAGCTTTATCAAATAGTACACCGAGTTAACCAAGGGTCGAGTTGATCTTTTGCCTTGAGTCAAGGTGTCCCGCTTGGGGTATTTTAGCTAAAACAATAATAGTTTTACTTAATCTTTGTATAATAAGAAACGTTCATGTGTGTCATATTTCAATATTTACATCTGTTACTTGGAGCGACGTTCACAGTTGTCTTACTTCAATATTTACATCTGAATCAAGGAGCGACGCTCACATTTCTTTTATATTTTTTTCTTAAGCTTGTTGGTTACATATTATCTAGAGAGAAACGTTCACATTTGTTTCACTGTTCATTTGGAATCTTATTTCTGTTGCCTATTGTTCAAGTAGGAACGTTTACATTGGTTTGGTGTATTCTTATGCCTTGAGGTTTAAATACCTTCTATATAACGAGAAATGTTCACATTTGTTTAATCTTATATTTGCAGATTGCCTATTGTTGAAGGAGAAACGTTCATATTTGTTTAATCTTATATCTATAAATTACCTATTGTATAACGAGAAACGTTCACATTTGTTTAAGATTGCTTATTGTTCTAGGAGGAACGTTCACGTTTGTTTAATCTTATATATGTAAATTGCCTATTGTTCAAGAAGGAACGTTCTTATTTGTTTAATCTTATATTTGAAGATTGCCTATTGTTCAAGGAGGGACGTTCACATTTGTGACACCAACAATAGCAATCCTGCTTCAACCACAATGGGAATGCCCGTACACTAAAGCTAGAGAACAAAGTAACAATTTTATATATACTTACAAAGAAAAGTTTATTAGAGAATGTCTGTGAGATATTATTTATATTTTTAGTAAAACGAATGTTTAACTGTTCACATTCCATGTAATCTTTGAATGCTTTGTAACACCGCACTTTTGGGGTCAAGCACACTTTTGGGTGCCTTGTAACACCGCACTTTGGGGACAATTAAACGCACTTTGGGGTCCGACCCCAAAGTGCGGTACACACTTTCGGGTCAGATTTTGAACCCAGAGCGCGTAACACAGGTACATGTGCATTTTTAACATCAAACAAACGACTGCATTTTGGCGTAATAAAAACCCCATAGTTTTGGGGTCACATTTTGACACCAGAGTGTGTAACACAGGTACAAATGCATTTTTTTAACATCAAACAAACGACCGCACTTTGGCGTCATAAAAAACGAAGAATTTTGGCATATTATCTTATACCCCCTGGCGTCCGTCCGTCTGTCTGGGCGAACATTCAGTGGTCTATGAGCTTCATTCCGTCCATAACGTTAGTTAAAAGAAGAAGTAAATCCAATAAACCGAGTGGTTTATGTGGTAATTTTACTGGTTTATGGGGGAAAATACCAAATAAATATCAAAGAAAAAACACAAAAACCCCAAATGTTGGCACTTCCGTGTCCGTCCGTCCGTCCGTTAGCAATTTGGTTTCCAGGGCATAACTTAAGTTCCATTTGGCCCACAATATTCAAACTTCATAAGATGATTGTCCATATTGGGTAGATTTTTGGGTCACAAGGTCAAAGGTCAAGGTCACTATTACCTTAAAATGAAAAGGAGGATTGCTATTTGAAGGAATTAATACTTTATCTAATTCCCATGTCTTACAAATGCTTCATCCTTACTAAAAAAACACTTTCGGGCATATAATGTTCTGCCTAGCGGTGCTCTTGTTAACTTATGCAGATCCTCCTTTCTGAAGAGTATTTATTTTCAGTGAGGGGATGTGGGTTCAAACCCTACTTGGAGCATACTTTATAAAGAAATTTTTAGATTACAGGACAAAAAGTGCTAACTTAAGTTAAGGTTAAGAAAAAACATAAACAGGATATCTACCTTTTCTTTACAGATGGCACAGACGTGAATTTTACAGCTCTCGGCTTAGATGAAATAGGCAGTGACGGTCATAGGGAGATTTGGATGAAACGAATTAGAGAGGTGACATTTTATACATGTCATTGATTTCATTATAAGATAAAAATTGTCCCCAAGGGCGACAACTTGAATCCGGTCTTAAATGTAGTACAGTGTATTTCGATTTCTGATGCATAGATATTTTTAGACTAAATTTCATTCTAAATATGTACAAATGTATATCAAATCATCTGGTCATCTCTTAAGCATCGCTTAAAGAAGCATGGCTCCAGATTAATGCTTACTTTCATGGAAAGTTTGAAAACATGTTTGAAATTAAAATTTTGCGTAGTGAACATGGAAAAATATTTACAAATTGAAACGGTACATACAACCCACGTGAATAACCAAAAAGAGGTCAAAATACTAGTATGCAGAATAGCCCACACTGCGTTTGTCACGCAGCATAAATATGGCGATTAAAATTACAAAATCAGTCATTAATCGAACGTGTAAAATATTATTTACACTGTTTAACTTGAATATCTCATTTTTTGTGTATTTTTTCTCAAGTTCGATTTTCTTAAAATATTTTCGCTCATCTGGAGGCATGCAGATTTAAACAGTAATCTTTTTATTATATACTTATAAATGAAATATTGAGGAATATTGATGAAATAAAATGCGTATTTTCATTTCCCGTATTTTCACTGTAAAAATTTATTTTTCACTGGAGTGAAACATATTTTCCGTATTTTCACTGGTGTCTTGCCGGACTACTTTCTTTTTAATTCTGCCAGTACCCAAAATTTAAGGGAAAGTCTTTCAAATTTTATCGCAAAAAAAAAGAGAAAAATGTATATAATAAACAGAAAATTCAAGTTTTTTCTATAGATACATGATTTATTTTCATCTTGTGGCATGAAAATTACCATATTTCACTCGTGGCTACCGCCACTCATGAAATATTTATTTTCATACCACTCGATGAAAATAAATCATGTATTTATAGAAAAAACTTGAATATCCTCTATATATTGTTGGGTTAAGTCATCTATACACTGAGAGGATAATTAAAAATATATAAAATAATAAAAAGAGGATAAATAAGATAAAAACATGTTTAAGAGTATATTCTGATTTTTTTTCTAACGCTTTCCTATGTTTTTGTCTCGATTTTCCTTTTGTTTTAATTTTGTCTTATTTTCTTATAATAATGTTAACATAATTATTTAATCTTGGATGTATTTATTTTGTTAAATCATTTGTATCGCCAAAATCTGTACTGATGTCTAGCTAGCGGAGAGAATTACAATATGCTTTCAGTTCAATCCACTTTATCATGATATTGTAAAATCTTTCTGTATGTTGTGTAGCATTGTAAACCAAAAGTTAACAAAAAATGGCTTAAAGGTACATGATACTTAAGATACGATTTAATTTTACCTTCCTTAGAAGCGGCAAATGTGAGTTTAATAATATTAAAATAATGGTTTTAGACATGTTAGATGCTTATTTCCTGATGAAAGTAGCGCTGAATGTGAAATTATTCACAATAAAAGAAGCAATAAAGTAAACAAAGTAGTATTTTTACTTACTTGATAAGTCACTGTTACTGTACCAAAGCAAAATAGGATTCAGGATATTAGATAACGAGTAACTTTGGAAATTATAACAGGGCACTAAAAACGAAAAGTTTTTGAAAAATGAGATAGGATCATAGAGGCACAATGGGCCTTTAAAGACTTGCACGGAACAGCAACTTTTCACGGGTCCTGTATATCCACATGTGAACTCGTAACGTCGTTACACTTTCTAATTTTTGTATTAGTTTTCATTTTTGCTTAGCTTTAAAGGTACTAAAAAGATGCTAAACTATTATTAGCTAAAGTAGCATATATATCGTATATCCATACATCAAAGGAAGCCTACTTACTGAGTAATAACGAGCGTTTCGGTTGGTCAATCATTTTTGATTTGATCTGGATTATTTAAATTCTAACCCACTTTTCCATGACATCCCAGTTGAGTTAACATCTGTAAATAAAGTCATACGCTAAGGTGAAATACATTTCGTCTTGTCAAGTACACGTCTGTATTGATTATATATTTTTCTTGGAGGGTTTCAAAGTTAATTCCCACAAACTCGAAAATGTTAATTTTTTTATTGAAGATGTCATCTTTTCATGGCTGAAAGTCAATTTCTATATTTTACTTCAAACTAAGTGGGTCATTTTGACCGGTGCCTCGAGTACAAGAACCATTTCTTTAATTTAACACTTGAAAGAAAAATTTGTTTCATCTTTCTCACACACCTATTTTACATTTTCAGATTCAGGGAGCTATCATGGTGGCCTCAATATTTCAGGTCGTGATTGGTTTCAGTGGCATCATGGGACTCCTACTCCGGTTTATCGGTCCGCTGGCAATTACACCTACCATTGCGCTAATAGGAATATCTCTGTTTTCAGCCGGATCTTCGTTCGCCTCTCAACAATGGTGGATTGCTTTAACGTATGTATTTATTCTAAGATTAATACGCGGAAGTCAACAAGCTTTGACTTGCTCGGCTATAGACTACATGTGTATATTTAAAAGAAAATCAAATAAAAAGCAATTCAAGAATATATAGAATTCTGTTCCTATCAATGAATTTTCCAGTGTCATGTTCTAGTTTGGCGCCGCCATTTTCAATGTAACTTAACGGCGGGGTATTCCGATAATGGAACAATCGCAACTTTTCGTATTCATAATAATCGTCGATGGTTCCGAGTGAAAACGGAAGCGGTGCTTGAAATACCGAATGACACTTTTAAAACAGAAAAAATGAACGATTTTTAACCGACATTATTTACAATTAGTCTGGTTCCCTCGGAACCTATAGTAAGGGGAAGAAACTCCAGAAAACCTCTGATTTACAATCACTGTTTTCTATGTATTTGTTAGTGTTTATTAAGTGAAATTTTAACAATCAAGAATCCCAAAGGAAGCGACCGTATGGATAAACAAGCAGACAATCTTTTGTCCGATTCCATTTGCTTATCTGGGTGATTGTCGTTTTTTAAGATGATGACTTAATTTTTCATTTTTTTCCACAGACACTTGGGGTTTGGAACTCAAAACGCCTTTAAAATCCAAATAAAATGCATATTTGTCAATCCCAGCACATGTACTGATCATATATATCAAAAAAACTTAATATAAGCCGTTTTGAAAAAAAATCACATTTCAACATCTATAATAATACACAAGATAAAAATGTTCGCCGGAAAAAATCCGCACCCCTACCGTCATAATCACCATGTATTTTAATCCATTTCCAATATTTTCACATAATCCTTTGGTCCATCGACACAGAAGATATAATTCTTCACGATGATGGTCAATTTTAAACTTCAACGGTAATATAAACAACGCAACAGCCGAAATAAACATCAATATTCTCGCCGTTTTTTTTTCAACGACAAAAACTTTCGATAAATTCAATGGACCAGACGGCTATGAACGAAGCTATCCGATTATGTGGCCCCAGCTTTGCCGTGTGCAAAATGCGCAGCGCTTTTAAGTTTGGGAACCACATAATCGGATAGCTTCGTTCATAGCCGTCTGGTCCATTGAATTTATCGAAAGTTTTTGTCGTTGAAAAAAAAACGGCGAGAATATTGATGTTTATTTCGGCTGTTGCGTTGTTTATATTACCGTTGAAGTTTAAAATTGACCATCATCGTGAAGAATTATATCTTCTGTGTCGATGGACCAAAGGATTATGTGAAAATATTGGAAATGGATTAAAATACATGGTGATTATGACGGTAGGGGTGCGGATTTTTTCCGGCGAACATTTTTATCTTGTGTATTATTATAGATGTTGAAATATGATTTTTTTTCAAAACGGCATATATTAAGATTTTTTGATATATATGATCAGTACATGTCCTGGGATTGACAAATATGCATTTTATTTGGATTTTAAAGGCGTTTTGAGCTCCAAACCCCAAGCGTCTGTGTTTTTTTCTGGTTATTTTTCAGCACGATGTTTTTGATAACAGTTTTCAGTCAGTACATGAGAAACGTAAACGTGCCGTGTTTCAGCATTACAAAAGAGAAAGGTTGTTCGAAAACTAAACTCCCCATCTTTAGTTTATTTCCGGTAAGTGCCTTAACTATTTCCGGTTAGAATATAGCCCGTGTTGAGATAAGAAAAAGCTCAAAAACTTCCAATTTAATAAAAACAAAACCAAGCTCATATCTATGATATTAACAATTAATTGTCAACACTTACGTTTCCCTTAATGACAACAGCACTGCAACACTAGCTTTCGGTATATCCAGCTATTGCACAATTTCATAGCAAAATGTATCTAAAATCACCTGCAAATTTTAGAACACTGCTTAATTCCAGTAGAAATAAATCCATAAACACTTCCTGTGAATAACTAAAACTCCACGTGAGTCCGCGAAACTTAAGGCCCTTGAAATAAGGAAATAAATAAACCCCGCAAAAATGTGTTAAAATTCAGTCGACACAAATTTCGATACATTAAACTTTACAATCAGTTTAAATCTCTTATAAAAACAAATACTGTCGTTTGCTCGATGTTATGCATGACAGGTGTCAAAAGATGATTATGTGAAATAGACATCATTTTAAGTTATTTTCTTTCTATAAAAACACGTGGTCAAACATAATTTAAATATCAGCTGTTAATACATATTAATTATGCTGCAGAATCATTACACTAAATACACTTATTAAAATAAAAGAAAACATTAGATGGTTATTCTTTTTTATGTATTGTGAATGTTCTCAGTAAATGACTTGCTATGTTCGTATTGCCGTTTTTACAAATGTTAATTGTTTATATATCTTATGTTTGTATCATGTATGATGCACTGAGAGAAATAAAGAATTTGAATTTGAATTTGAAAAAAAAAATTCGGTTACCATTTACCGTTCGAGATTCTGCCAAAGACAATACATATATGATAAAAGGCATATTCATGTCACCATTGGCTTTTTCTGGAAAGCTTACACTCGATAGAATATTTAATGTTGTTTTTTATTTTGTTCGGGCACCGTGATTGTAATTATAAATCACATTTCAATAAAAGGCCATCATTAGTTTTAATGAATTGTTGGTAGTTTTGCATCTGTTCACAATTTCCGTCTTTTATGTTTGCATTTTGTAATTACAACATGTAGATATATTCTATATGTGGTATATATTATATTAAGGAATTAATTCAGAATGTTTTATGATTTGATTTTGTTTTATATAATATTGTTTAAATTTAAATGCAAATATGTGTACGATATCATTTTTTTTTCATATATCATCAAAAGGTTTTACTAGCTATGATTATATCGTGGGTTATATGTGCTATCCTCACGGCTACAGACGTCTTACCGAACGACCCAAATAAGTGGGGCTACAGTGCCCGTACCGATATACAAATTGATGTTTTACAGAAATCAAAATGGTTCCGGTTTCCGTATCCAGGTGAATTAAGTTATATTTTTCTTTTTGTTTGTTTTTGTTTTGATTTTGTTTATTATACTTAGTTGACAGTGTGAACATGTTTCTTATATCCACAATATTAGTAAAAAAGGTTCGTTAATTCAGCCCAGCTTTTAACCTTTTCACTAGGAATAAATATATTTTTTACGAGCATGCTCCCCGAAGGGAGACAAATAGTCGTCCCTTTATCCGTCCGTCCTGTAAACACTGTGTACTTTGTTCGGGACATAACACTAAAACTACAAGAGATATCAACAAGAAACTACTTCATTGTGTTCAAAACCTATTTGGGAATCATCACCCGGTTCGGCCGGCTCTTGTCTATTTTTGTGCGTTGGCGTTATAAGAGTAAATTTATATGAAATTTATTTTTAATACACATTTTGTTTTGTTTCAAGGGCAGTGGGGTCTTCCTACTGTGAGCACAGCCAGCGTATTTGGAATGCTTGCAGGAGTTCTTGCCTCCATGGTTGAATCTGTGGGCGACTATTACGCATGTGCGAGATTGTCTGGAGCCCCGCCTCCTCCGACCCATGCTATAAATAGAGGCATAGGAATTGAGGGAATTGGATGCATTTTGGCTGGAGCATGGGGTTCCGGAAATGGAACAACTTCTTACAGTGAGAATATCGGGGCGATAGGAATTACTAAGGTATGAACTGAAACTATTAAATTAATATGAACTAGCCAATCAAATGCGCAGGGATACGATAAGAACGCTCTTTATATATACTATGAATAATCGAATAATCAAGCAGCATGTACTGTAGGCACATCTCATTCTGAAAAATGGTACACATCGTTTTATTTAGTTATATTTTCTGTGTTTATAGGTTGGCAGTGTTCGGGTGGTCCAGGTAGGAGGTATTGTCATGGTGGTTTTAGGCTGCCTGGGCAAGTTCGGAGCTCTATTTGCTACCATACCAGGTCCTGTGATTGGAGGAATGTTCATGATCACATTTGGTAAACAAATCGTTTTATCAGCGCATAAATAATTTCGCCCTGAAATGATAACCTCATCAGAGTTGTCACTGGGTTCCAGTGTCATACTTACTATTGTATTTGAAGTCTCTTTTTATTTCTAAATATAAAGTAAAAAAATGATTACAAATCTATTTCGTGTTTTATGAGACAGCGTTGCCTAGTGGTTAACTTGGAATACTTGCTTTTAATGACAAGGTGCATGCGTAGTTGAAAACAAGACAGTTAAAGTGGACATAATTCTGAAAGCACTTTTTTGGAGTTATGCCCCTTTTTACAAAATTGGTTGTATTTAACAAACGAGCGCGTTAACCCAGCATGTGATGCCATTGTTTACTTCTATGGTCTTAAGAAACTTGTTAATTTTCGTGTAAAACAAAGGAAATTTCTGTAAAGCATGCACTTGTTTAATAAATTTAATAACTGTCTTACTTTCAGGTATGGTAACGGCGGTTGGCTTATCAAACTTACAATACGTCGATTTAAATTCTTCAAGAAATATCTTCATCCTAGGTGTGTCTATATTTTTCGGGTTTAGCATGCCGGAATGGATGGGTAGAAACCAAGATGCTGTCGACACTGGTAAAGTTGTGTGCCTTTTTTTTAGCTTAATGTAGGGATTCTATTAAGGTTACTTCGACATAACAGGACTCGAAAATATTTTTTCGAGATATGTGTACAATTAAATGAAGGCCTTAATCAAAAACTTGTGTGCAAACTTTTCAGATCATTTGCTTTAACACTTTCAGAATAATATTTTTATTGTGCAAAATGACTATTTAAATGCTGATTAGTAAAGCCAGGCTAAGAATTGCATAAAAATCGATTACCTGAACCAAATTGTTCTTCCGTTGCTTTTTCAGCAATTATGCACAGCTTTAGAAATTTTGTAACTTATATGGAAGTCAAAATACTTCCCTGTTTACAATTTATTACTTTAATCACAAATAGTTTCACATTCAGAGCTAATTTCCTTAGGTGATAAGCATGCACCTAGCTTGTACTTAAACCATTATCTAAATGTTATAAAAACTATCTAATTATATTTTTAAGAATAAGACAATTATTTGTTTCGGAAGAAAATTGCCTTTAGGTTTAATATTTCTATCAGGAGCAGAACAATTGGGAGTATATAACGTAGCCTCAATTTCGGATTAAAAGACCATTGAAGAAAAAAAACTTCTTTGAAAAATTGGTTGTGATAGCGGATTTGTCGTGAAAACGGGGTAGTCGTAAGGCGGGGCTCTACTGACACGAAATTAACGTGCATGTGATTGTTTTTCAGGGAATGACATAGTTGATCAAATATTAACTGTATTGCTAAGCACGAGTATGTTTGTGGGCGGCACAATAGGATTAGTTTTGGATAACACGATTCCAGGTAATTCTTCGTTCTTTTTAGTTAACCCAGCTTTCCGCAGAAAAATGTTTTTGTTGTCTTTTTTTGTTTTTATTTGTAGTAAAACATTAAATACCTCAGTCGAACCTGAAACGGTTTGGAATAGTAAAATTTCTGATGCAAAATTCCCTGTAAAAAGTAAGTGCAAATATCCAGTACATCATTATTTTGTCCTGAATTATACTCGTATTATTTCTTTCTATGGCTCGGTCTTTTTCGGCATTCTTCGCTTGTATTTGTTGTGGAAATCTACGAATATGTACTAATCATAGATATGATCTTAATTATTTGGATATTTATTGCGTTTTTGGATTGTCTGTGTTTGAAACAATTTGAATACAACAAAGTAGTGTGTTGTAACTGGGTGAACACCATCTCAGTATATACCATGGATTATCCTGAGGGCACGATTAGACGATCATATAGTGCAAGTGAACTGATGAGATTTCGTTCACTCCCTAGGCAATGGATTATACCTAATCAAGAAGTATTGTCAAAATTAAAATATCTAGGAATATTAAACTTTAGAAGAGCGCGAGCAGGGACTAAAACACACAATGGACACCGAAGAATTAAAAAGCAAACTTGTGTAAATCTCTCAAATTTTATATATCCAAAACGATGTAATACTCTAAGCAATTTTACAGAGAATGTTACCTGCTTGACTGTAAATTGCCGATCATTAGTCAGAAAAGATGTACTTGTTGGACAACTGCTCCGTGAACAGAAAGTTGACATTGCAATTCTGACCGAAACCTGGTATTCTGATGAAAAACAATATCAATTTGAGACCTCGGATCTGAACCAAAATGGTTACAAAATCAGTGTTTCAAACCGTTAAAACAGAATTGGCGGTGGTGTTGCCCTTACATGTCGTAGTGGTGTTAACATGCGTAGACTGCTTTCCGGTGCAAAATCAAGCTTTGAGTACGGAGTGAGGCAATTAATCTTCAAAAGCATTACAATTCACTGTGTTGGTATATATAGACCTCCATCTGTGGCAACACCAAATCAATTTGTGACAGAATTCTTTCCGTTCCTAGAAGACATAGTTCCGAAGTATTTAAATCTACTGATTATGGGAGATTTTAACGTACACATTCATGATGACAGTAGCGCTGTTTCAGAGTTCAATAATTCCCTGTTTGCTCTCGGTTTGCTACAACATGTTGACTTTCCAACACATGTGCACGGCCATAGTCTTGATCTAGTGATCACCGAACTCGCAAATGGCGTTGATCTACTCTCATGTGAACCAGGTCCGTTTTTGTCAGACCACTGTGCTGTTAAAGTAGTCACGAGGGTAAAAAAGGAGAACATTGTGAGCAAATCTATTTCTTTCCGGCACTTTAAAGATATGGACAACGAGGGTTTCGCTAACGACCTTAATCAAATGACAATATGTACTGATTCTGTGGAAAATTTTGTTGACCAGTTTGAGACTGAGATCGAGAAACTACTTAATACACATGCACCTATGAAAGAGAAAATTCAAATATGTAGAGCACCGAAGCCCTGGTTCAGTGAAAGTATTATGTCCCTGAAACGAGTGATGCGTCGATCAGAGAGACTTTGGCGCAAACATCGCACCCAAGGACTATGAAATTTATAAGTCCGCACTTCACAAATATCACTATGAACTTAGAAATGTGAAACAATTAACACTTAGTCAGAATGTAATTGAATCAAAAGGTAACTCTAAAAAGCTTTATCAGTTTGTGAAAGATCTTACCGGAAGCAAGTCAGAAAACCCAATGCCACCCGTAGAAGATGAAAACACCCTTGCGAATAAATTCGCAGACCATTTTATGGACAAGATCAAGAAGATACGCGAGTCTCTGAAAGATTTTGAAAACTATAAACCTTTGGTCAAAGACGTACCACCGTTTGGATCTTTCGAAAGTCTTACAGAGGATGAGATTAAAATGCTCATAAGTCAGTTACAAACTAAATCTTGTGAGCTTGACATTCTGCCCACCAAAGTATTGAAATCATTTCTCAACGAACTTTTGCCTACGATTACCCAGCTCGTGAATCTTTCTCTGACGCAAGGTGTTTTTCCAGCTAAATGGAAAAAGGCAATAGTCAGGCCTCTGTTGAAAAAATCTGGTCTTGAACTCACATTTGCCAACTATCGACCCGTCAGCAACTTGTCATTCTTGTCCAAATTGATTGAAAAAGCCGCCCTTCATCGACTAAATAAACATGTAAACGGAAACGATCTCCTTCCAACGAATCAGTCGGCCTATCGTCAGTTTCACTCCTGTGAGTCAGCCCTTCTTAGACTCGTAAACGACATTCTTGATGCAATGGAGCATCAAGAGGTCACTGCACTGATAGCTCTAGATTTAAGTGCTGCTTTTGATACTGTCGACCATAACATACTGTTAAATGTTCTTGAAAGTCAATATGGCGTCTTTGGATCTGCGCTGGAATGGATAGATTCATATTTGAGGCCGCGTAGCTGTCGAGTGAGTGTTAACTCGAATGTGTCATCAGAACGGGAACTTGACTGTAGTGTCCCCCAGGGAAGCTGTTTGGGCCCTTGGCTCTACTTGACGTACGCAGGAACTATCTTTGACATTGTACCTCCCTCCATTTCCGTGCACGGATTTGCCGACGACCACGTTGCAAATAAACGTTTTAAACCATCACCTACCGCAGAAGCAAGCGCAATTCAGGACCTCCAGGACTGTGCAGTGCATATAAATGATTGGATGAACAGCAACAAGTTAAAAATGAACAATTCAAAGACAGAGTTTATTCTTTTCGGAAGTCGTCCACAGCTGAATAAGTGTAACACCAAAGAAATCAATATATGTGGTAATGTTATTGAATCACAACATTGTATACGGTATCTTGGTGCTTTCGGGGCTTTTGTCTCATCAAGTGTCAAAACGAACCTTAAGATCATCTGAATCCTCTGTTGGTTGTTATGTTGTTCCTTTTAATAAGAAGAGGGCTTTTTCTGACAGAGCTTTTAGCACGACAGGACCAAAATTGTGGAATGAACTACCTATTAATATGAGAAAATGTGAATCTGTTGAAATTTTCAAAAGACAACTAAAATTATCATTTTACTTAAAGGACTTTTTTGCACTTTTTTAAGTGACGCTGAAGGCATTGTCTGTTCCTAATTGTTTTGTGCATGTTTGTATATTTCTATCAGTTTTTATTATTTTCATTGTACAATAATATAATAAAGTCTAGCCCATGTGTTATCATGTGCAGGCGTGCAGTAGTGTAGATTGTTACATGTTGGTGGGGATTGACCCAATCACTGTGACCGTCGCACTGCTGGGAGTATTGTGTATGGTAGCACTGGGAGTAGCACATATAAGGTATATAGCTGTACAACGCCATTGAATATGTATTCTATATGTATAAATAGGCGTTAAATCAAGTTTTCAAGTTTTTAAGTTTTTTTTTCTTTGGAATGCTTAATACTGCAAAATGTGTAGCTCATCCGATGATATATTAAGAATTCATAAGTTTAACCTATCTTTCAATAACAACAACTTCCAACAAAACACGCGTGGTAGTTGAGTGATTTTTACATAATTTAACAAAGGCATATTTTTTAAAGGGCCTCTTCCTAATCGAAATTTTTCTTTTAAATCATAGATCTTTCCCCCGATATGTTACTTACGAAAGCTTTTCTTACTTCCTAAAATAGCAAATTTTGCGGTAATTCTTCCCAAAATCAAAAAGGCTAAGGCCTTTTCCCAAGTACGCGATAAAAACCACAGTAGGTCTGTAATATTTATATAACATAGATCTGTCAATGCATTCTACACTATTTCAGGAACGGACGAAGAAAGGGGTATAAGGAAGTGGCGAAAATTGACACAGGATAGTGACGGCCCAACTGGTGGTTCTAGAATGCATATATACGACATTCCTCTCATACAAAACTGCCTTAATAAAGTGACTTTATTTAGGTATATTCCTTTCTGTCCGTCGTTTCTAAAAAAAGCGACGCATGCACAGAGCAAATATGAGAAAGGAGGAGTTCCGGTTGCGATGTATGGGGTAGAAAATCCGGCAGTTGATGTTACGGAAGAGTATAATACAAAAATATGAGTGCTGGTGAAAATTAAAATGGCTACACAGAACGTGATACGGTGTTAAAAAAGACAAATAATTTCTGCTTCAAAAGCTATACATGTATAAGAAAATATTGTGTGATATTTTTCATGTGTCATAGTATGATATCTTTGAAACGTTTTCTAAAGTTTATACATACTCTAACCGACATGTACACTTTTTCACTGCAATGCTTCCCCGCCTAAAAAAATTCTAACATCGGCCAATATCGTAAAAAATCGGTCATTTCCGGAATGTTAATTTTTCAAAATCTTCGGTTACCGTTTGTAATCGGAATTTAGATCATAGCGATAACGTTTGAGTGATTGTTAATAAGCCAATGCCCAAGATTTTGAAAAAATATAACGTTCCGGAAATAACCGATTTGCTACGATATTGGCCGATGTTAGATTTTTTTGGCAGTAAAGCATTATTCAAAATAATTCATAACACATTGACAGCTGGAATTCTTAATAACACGATGCCTATACCACGTGACATTCTGGGATCAAACAGTACAATAGACGCGGTGCAGAAAAAAATCACGTGATATATGCACTGATTGTGAATTCAATTCATTTCATCTTCTGGAAAGCCTACACATTTTGTAAATAGACATAACATAAGGTGTTTTTTAATATTTTTTTTTTCATTTTTTAGCTAAATATTTAAATATTAATTATTTTTTAATAAAGGGATTTATTAATCTGCATTGATATTTGTCTAAGTATTCATGTTTATTATATACATTGTACTTATAAATGAAATATTGAGAAATATTGATGAAATAGATTGCGTATTTTCATTTTCCGTATAATTTCACTTTAAAAATATATATTTTTCACTGCAATGAAACATATTTGGTGTCTTGCCGGACTACTTTCTACTACGTTCAGCAAATATATCAAATTTAAGCGGAAGTCTTTCAAATTGTATTTTGTGGTATGAAAATTAATATATTTCACTCGTGGCCACTGCCAGTCATTAAATATATTTTTTTTCACACCACTCGATGAAAATAAATCCTATATTTATGATACATTTATCACATTCCATAATAGTTCTAGATAAACATTGATAGATGTTCTTCATAGTGACCAGTGTCTGTATCGTTCCCCTCAGTAGATCATTTGCCTCTTTACAACAACTGGACTATTTTTTTCAAAAATTGAAAACTTAGTAATGAATTTAACCACTCAAGACAAAGTTAACCACCCAAAGATTTGAGCCGCGTCACGACAAAACCAACATAATGGGTTTGCGACCAGCATGGATCCAGACCAGCTTGCGCATCCGCTCAGTTTGATCAGGATCCATGCTGTTCGCTATCAGTTTCTCTACTTGTAATAGGGTTTGTAAGCGAACATCATGGATCCTGATCAGACTGCGCGGATGCACAGGCTGGTCTGGATCCATGCTGGTCGCAAAGTCATTATGTTGGTTTTGTCGTGACGCGGCTAATTTGTTAACCAACGGGTGTTGCTTTGCAGAAGTTGTATCTTACACCCTTTCATAGCTGGTAAAGATCCTATATGTTGTAATCAAAGTGGTAAACCACATTAAGTGAAATTATATATAAGTACATAATTATGCAAATAAAACAACTTTCAAACATCGAAGAATATGTAAAATATGTACTGCAAATATTTTTGCATATTATATGTAATCATTAAAATATATGCATTCATATATGCATTCATATTTTTATTACCTCCCTTTATTTACATGAAATGTTAAATTCGGTAATATCTTTATAAATAATGCTTTTTGGAACCTACAATATTGATAAATCTTAATTTGTGCATCATAATGTATTTATGATTTAAAACCATGGCAAAAATGTGTTACACAAGATCTTTAACTCTAATGTTCATTTGAAACGTAAAAATGAAGGTATTACGCTCGCTTCACTCTATTTTTAATTACAATGTGACCAAAAAGCATGCAAAGATATTCCGCATATTTAAAGTAGTTTACTCTGTATTCATTTATTACGTGACAACGAAGATATTCCGCATAGTTATTAATACTACAACTAGTGATGGAAATCAGATGAAATGTGTCCCAATCGATCATCGGTTTAATCAGATGGGACATAATCGATAACTATTCGAATAAAGTCGCGTTAAAAAGAAATAGGGAAGTAACATTTCTTCCCAAGGCACTTGATTATATTCAGTAACATGAACTTCATTTAGCACTTTTCAACACAGTTTTAACATTATATAGTCATAATTTAACGAAATAGATTTTTTTTTCAATTGATGTCAAATAATATTTTTACATTCACATCACATTATATTACTATTGTTTACATCACTTATTGATCCTGTTCAACTCCAAATTGTCTCTAAGATGATTTTTTTGCGATCGGCGAGGTGTTCCTTAAAGAAAATTACCGTCAGAATTAGTTCTCTTTGATACTTTAAACATTTTCGACGACGCGGAACAAATTTTTATGAATCGATTATAGTCGCTTTACATAACAGTAACTGATTATCGGCGACTTGCGACAATCTACAACATTCAATGAAACGACAACTCTTACATCACTAATCAGTCAATACTGTACTAGTTACCTCCCTTTGTTAAGATTTTGAATAAGATCATTTAAAGTCACTTGATTTATTTTTTGCAATATTTTGCAAGTTTCTTTCATTCTAACACGCACACAGGGTCAACCTCTTTTAAATAGTATTACAAACACCCGGTTCTTTTTTCGCGTAGGAGTTACTCTCAAGCTTCCCTCATTATTTTAACTTGACTAAATTTTCATCATCAAACGCTACAATTTTTAAATTTCTATTCATCAACATGCCTCAAGTTACATGTACACAATTCAAAATGTGAAACTATAATACTGTTCATCTGCATGTTTGTTGTTATTTACACAATAAGATTGTAAGATGATATCTGATTATCAAACGGTTTAATTAGGTATTATACATATTTCTTCAATGTTATCGCAGGGACTTATCTGCCTGTTACATGGAAATATTTGGTAAGGTCATAGGGACATTTCTACATGCAAACGTACCTGCGCGAAAATATTTTTTTGGCGTTGATATTCAAATCTGTTTTTGTTTGGTAAATATATACATGTATTCGAGTGCAACAATTTAACTAAAAGCTACGTTTGATTTCTATGCATTTACTTTTTTACCTTTCTTTTAAATAAAGATATTTTCCAAACATATCAAATTTGTTACATACAATTTCATTGCAATATAAGAGGCTTGGCTGAGTGGTTTACGCGTCGGATTAATAATCTTAGGATCGCTAGCCAGTGGATTCAAATCCCGTCAGAGGCAAGTCGTGTCTCCATGAGCAAGACACTTTACACCCATTAATTCTATCCAGAAAGGGATCTTCAAGTGTGTCTATTAGCTTATAAGGTTCTTTCACAATCGAACTAATTTTACGGAACTCCACTGAGGTTCAACAGCCTTATAGTATTGAATTTAATTTCTTACGTAGATCAGTTTTGGCACTTAGAACAGAAAGATATGCAAAAGACTATTGCGAAATATTCTCAGATATAAACTGAAAATTGTATTTGTCTGCTATTGTTAGCCCGACTTGAGTAAAAAGCGTTGCAACGCTTTTCAATTTTAGATCTTTAGTCACATTCAGGATGATTTTCTGGATAAACGGAGTAAGTGAATGATCTGAAATTTTGCAAACACGTTAGTGGTCTAGACCTATATCAAATGGAACATTTATCTCGCAAAAATATTTCCAGTCCCCTCATGTCAAAAAATCACACTGGATTCACTGTCAATTATGTTTAAACTAATGAAATTTAATGAAACCGTTATTGCAATTGATGTTTCAAGAAACATTGATACTTGAGGACTTCTTCCGGTAGTCAAACCATTCTTATGCAGTTAAGAATCATACATTCTTAAAATAATGCCCTATATAAATATGCTATGGCAACATTTTTAAAGGAATATTTTAACGAATACATTAAGAGAATTTTTTTTATCAAAACTTTAATAAGATTAGGGATAGAATTTCAGAAGCTTGCCAAGTTGCCACCCAGACAGGCGATCGGGGTCAGACTGCAAAAGATGGGCCGTACATGTGTACGCTATCAACTTACAAACTTTACGGATATATTAGCATATAAATTCGATAATCGTTTACTTCTGATTTTATCGTTATTAACCGTTTTATATGTCAAAATTTCGGATAATTACGGATTAAATTTATTTTGACTGTGGGTTAGATTTGAAGGTGTACGGTGAGTTTCACAGTGAGGTGATAATTAGTTAAATGTATCTGTACGACAGAGTTCGGACAATGTGTACACGATATTATCAGAAATAGAATATGAACAAAAGTGTCAGTTTTCCTTCACACGTTGTCACAATCCTCAAAATGCTTGACAACATCTTCGGAAGATAACGGCCTTAATTACGGGAAAAAAATATTACCACCCATAAATTATATATTAAGTTACTGTTTTACTTTAATATTTGTATAGGAAATGAAATATCAAAAAAGAAATAATCTTGAAGTTCAATTTTAATTGCTTTTTCCATAGGGCAACTTAATGTGGAACTATGAATTTTCGAATTGAATGGGTGTCCACGGACTCGCATAATATACAGTCCCGTACACCTCCGTATCTCAAGTTTCCCGTATTCTACCCGTATATTAATGATATACGGAATTTCGTACAGTTCCGTATATCCATATACATGTATTTTGCTTGATCAGTCAAATTTTAATAAAATATAAAATAGATTGAATGGGTGTCCACGAACTCCGTACATCTCCGTATTTCAAGTTTTCCGTATTTTACCCGTCGGGTTATCGGAGAAAAATTCGGAAACCATGATGTGTCGTAAGATGAATTCTCATTTGTGATACCACTGGTAATATAGGTAAATATATGACAAGTGAGTTGTGAGAAAGTTAGTAGAACAGGATCAAACTTATCGAATCCTTCATCCTTAAAGAAAAGAAAAGAAGCCAGTCCAAATCGTTTCTATATAGCATTTATATGGACAGCTTAGCAGGCCATTAGTAGCGAGGTGCCCGCCGTTCTTCTAACCACCACCACCACCAACAACAACAACAATAACAACAACAACATCAATGACAAAAAGCGCCCTATTTTCAAGTCTTATTAAGAAACGGATTGACACATTCACTAACAAAAGATTCAGAGTTTACTGTTAAAAAAAACTTTGAATTACTGAGACCACCTACTTGTCTTTTATTATCTATCCTTAGGCTTTCAAATGCTTCCACACTTGTTTCTTATTTTCGTGTACTTTCTCCAGCACGTGCTCGCGTGAACATACATGTATGTCGTCTGCGACGAGCTCGATGTAAATCTCTATAATTGAAAAATTATTGTCCTATATTTCATATAGACATGTGAAAATGTTATCAGGTAATGTTTTTATCAGTTTTCATCAAAGATGTTCTTTATCTGTCAGTTTATCAATAAACGAGGTCTGCGCACATTTAGATCTTTTGTGGAAAATCGTTATGTACGCATAACCGTTACAAAATTACAATTTTGATGATCTTTAACTTGAAAAATAAGATAAATGATAATAAAATTGACAAACTTTGATTCTTGCACAATGACAGGACACACGTAGTGGCTTTAGGAGACTGTCACTTTTAATTTCGTTTTAACGCCGTTTTAATTGGGCTAATTTGTGATCCACGGTAACATTTTTACGTCCGTATTTTATAATCATATTGATGTAAATGAGTCTATGAATAGATACTAAATAATTTTGATAGATGTAACTGGAAACATGTGTAGGTGACTCGCACCAAGAGACAAGATGGTATTTATACCCCTTTCTTTCCTAGAAGCAAGTGCATATTGTTTTACACGGGTCGTTATGTCCGTCCGTTCGTAATCAGACCTTGCAAGATCAAGAAGTAGAACTTAGCCACATGCCGACGATGACCCCTTTTTAATGTGTAGTCAGTGTGTCAAAGGTCAAGGTCGAGATGGTTGAATGTCAGACGTTATGTTGAATACGTAATGTAAAAGAACAGAATGTCAAGGTCACAGTGACTATGATAGCAGTTAAGATTGTTTTAAAGATAACAAATTTGTCAGTTGGGCATACATGATACACAGACATTTCTTGTTTTAGCTTCAGTTGCTAAGGATCGAACCCCAGACCCTTGGAAACCTGTTGGTCACGGTGCTACAGATAAACACTGTCTAATGAGAGTTACACCTAACATATTAACATTTACGACAAAGATCTATCTATTTCAATAACAAATATAACAATTCAGACAACAATAATGATGATGATGATGAAAATAATAATAATAATAATAATAATGATAATAATGATGATAATAATAATGATGATGATGATGATGATGATGATGATGATGATGATGATGATGATGAATAGAAGCATTATAATAATAACAATAATATAAATTTTTATCATTATATTATCATAATGATAATGACTATCATAATATATATTATTATTATTATTATTATTATTATTATTATTGTTATTGTTATTGTTATTGTTATTATTATTATATCAAAGTCACTGATTTTGCTTACACATTAAAAAAATACATTGTGAAATATTTTTAAACAATGCTGAAATTAACTCTGTTTATAATAATCATATTGGTATATATCTGTAATATAATATAGTACAAATTTGACATCAAATGTA